GGATGAGCTGAAGAACGAGGTAAACGCCCTCAAGGTAGGCAAGGGGGCTTTAGAGCTCGAGGTGAAAGGCCTCAAGGAAGATAAGAGAGTCCTGGAGCACAAGGTGGAGTTCCTCAAGGCTGACATCGAGGAGAAGACCGAGATCTTCACCCAGGCCATAGAGAAGACCAAGGTCAAGGCCGTCATGGACTATGTCAAATCGGACAGGTTTGACACCGTGCTGGGGGAGGCCTATCGTAAGGGCTTCAAGCTCAGTAGGTCGTTGATAAGGCACACATACCCCGAGCTTGACACAAGTGCCATCACCACTTCACGGATCACAAGTGACATAACCCGACAAGCTACAGAAGATCCGGATTCCGAAGAAGAGGGTGGCGACGATGAGGTGGATGTCACCGACCTGCTCGAAGCTCCTAAGGAGGTCCCGAGCAGAAATGAAGAGCCAAAATAGTTATCCTTGTACTATGAGCCTTTGAGCTCAGTTTTTGTTTCTTCTTTCCCTTCTTTTCTTTTTTATCGAGTTCATTGTATAAAATTCTCCATTTAATGGAATTTGTTTTTTTTTTGCCAAGTGTTGTTACTTGCCGAAGTGATTATATTATCCGAGCTATCATAGTTAAGTGCACAAAGTAGGGTTTCTCAACTGTCACCTCCCCGAACTGTCTTTTAATACCTTGTAGGGGCGGTTTTTATAACGTACACCAAGGTGAGTGACATAATAAGGCATATGCCCGAATTGTCTTCCAATACATGACTTGTCGGTTGTCCCTAGCGGGTCCAACCCATTGTATGCCAAGGTGGACTAAGCACCATAGGGTTCATACCCAAGCTGCTTACGTCCCTGGCATACTATGCACTATAGTGCCGAGGCCCTTGGTTAGCTCGGCGTTTTAGCCCTTTGGCTGGGGGTAGTCACTCCCTCCTAGAGTCTGCCCATGGCGAAGAGGTGACTGGGTCTTATAGTGCCGAGGTCATCGTTAGTTCGGCATTTTGGCCCTTAGGCTCTAGGAGCGACTACGGTCCACCCCCTCCTAGAGTTTGCCCATGCCGAAGAGGCGAGTGGGTCTTATAGTGCTGAGGTCATCGTTAGCTTGACATTTTGTCCCTTGGGATTAGAGAGCAACTTGTAGTTCACTCAGCTCGGCGATCATGGGTAA